TTAAAAGAAGTAAAAGCCTCTAAAGAAATCTCTATCCTTAAAGAGATACTAGAGAGGTAGATTTTAATAGGCTATTTACTATAGTTATTCTATATTACTAGGAGTAATCAGGATAGACTTATAAAAAAAGCTATATAAATATAGAAATAGATCTTAGTATTTATTTTAAAGCTAAATAACTAGGACTAAGCTACAGCCGAAAACTAGTTTTAATAAAAAGACAATAGTGTTTAGGCCTTATTAATACTAATAATATTATTATTACCAGTTTTTTTAATAACAGGAGCAGAATTATCTTTATCAAGCTTAATAGATACTGTATATAAAGCACCAGTTATTATAACCTCCAGATCTAAGTCACTGTTATTATTATATTTAAAATTAACTGGTATAAGAGCCTCTAGTATAGCCAGGGCTGTCTTGGTTCTTTTCCTAGTAGACCCAGGAGAGTAGTACTAGTGTTTCTTTAAGGACTCTGTCTTAGACTTACTATCACCCATGACAGGCTGACGGGCAGGGCTTGGGATCAGACTAAAAAGTTTATTATTTTAAAGGGCAGCAGCCTATATAGAGTTAGAAAAGGGAGAATAAAAGGCAAGGACAGGAGTATACCTGGAGTATAAGCTAGTAGGCTTCTCAGGTCTAGAATTTATAGATATTAATCTTATTAACAGTATTAAGGGCTTGAAGACAAGCAGTAATAATAGAATTAAAAGTTAATAAATCCTATACTACTTTAAACAGAAGGCACGGATTATTCTATAAAGCAGGGAATATGCCCCAGGCAAGTATCTTACTATTAAATAGAGTTTATAGTAAATCTAAGAGATTAGTAACTACTCTAATAGAGAGTTTAATAACAGATAATAGAACCTTGCCAGGATATATGGTTAGTATAGGCTGAACTGAAGCCTATATAGTCTTATAGGCTATAAGCCTTGTCTAAGTCTCCTCCAGACTACCAGAACAGTAAACCTCCCTAAACAAGACTAATATTAGTAAGATTAATAGAGATAAAAATAAGACAGGCAGAGATAATAACTTACTCAGAGTATAGAGTAGTCTAATCTTGTAAGCCCTGGTTTATATAGGTAGAATATTTAGCTCTATTTCTAGCCTATATATAGTTACTATATAAGCTAAACTATATAGTACTATAATAATATTTAGGTCTAATTATATAACTTATAAAGACCCCACTAGTTTAGCAGTATATATAAGCTTTATCTTTAGATAGGGCTTCTCTATAGAGATATAAGATATAGTTACCTTTCTAGTAGGTAGTTTAAGATATTTTAATAACTAGTCTATCTTTATAATCTAAAGACTAATTAGGATCTCTAATAACTAGGAAAAGCAGGATCACAGTTAAACTAGGAGCTAATTTAATAAGACTAATCCTGTCAGCCTCCAGAATAAGACAGGCTGGGGAAATAGATTTATAAGTATTTAATAAGGCTGATTCCTCGGCAGGCTCTGGGATATAAGAAGGGATAACTATAGATATAGTCTGCTTTTTCTTTTATAGAGAGGGATTACTTTAAGCTATAGTATAAAATAGAGAGGGCAGTAATATTAATAATTAATAACTAGATAAGGGGCAGGTGATAGGCACTAATAATAAGAAATATAAGGGATCAAGAATACTGATAATAAAGAGAGTTAAGATAACAAGGATAAGATATATAGAGAGGTAAAAGGGAAGCTAAGGATTTAGTAAGGGTAATATAAATAAATAAATAGACATGTTAATTTTAAGGCTTATAAAAATTTACTTAACTATAATAAGCTATATTAATTAAGTTAACTAGTCTGTTACTATAGGGAATTATACTCTCTGAATAATAGAGATCTTAACCTTATAGTTTCTTTAATTCTACAGACCTCTTAATAATATAGAATAGATATAAAGAAGATTAAGAATAAAATACCCTAGAGGTTTACTTATATATCTCCAGCCTAGCTTTAGCCTTATAAAGACTAAGTAAGGCCTGTATAAGCTTATAAAGACTTATTTTATCTTTCTTTCTATCTTAGATTCCTGACAGTACAAGGACTAATAAAAATATGAAGATTCTATATATATAATCTCCAGGAATCTTATAATAGTTTATTTTAATATAGATCTATCCCCTAATATTCTTTCTAGATTAAATAATATATAAACCAGTCTTCTTTATATTAATATAAGACTTCTAATAAGCTTCTCTATATTTAGGAGGAATATATATCTACCTGGATAATAAACCATGGGCTGTCTAGGTAGACAGCTAGATAAGTAGAGAAGGATATAATCCTCTATAGTAGTACTCGGAGATATTAATGCCTTTGATATATATCAGGGATATTGATACCCGGTAGCCCTACTATTAGTTAAGACAGTTGCCGATATCTAGTAGATTATATATAGATACTTAGATAGCAGATAGATTTAAAAAAAATAATAACACCAGAAGTGTGCCTTCAGGCTGCACTTCGGCATTTCAATGGCTTCGATATTTACCGATCTCGGGATGTTATCACAAGTAGTTATTAATAAGGATTAATTTATAGTAGAATAAAATCTTCTTATTTCTAAGGATTTTCTTACTAAGTAGTATTATAGTTAGACATGTATATGGGTTGGGTTAGGCCGGGTTGAGGCCTCAGGCACCCTAACTTGTAGCAGGTTCAGGGATCTGATTAGTTATCCTAAACCTATGAGAGTTTAGGCCGGGATAGGGCAGGTTCTACCTAAAATTTTAAGGCTAATCTTAATTAGGATATAATTATCTGTATACTAACTTATTTAAAAAATAATTATTTATAGATTTAGGACTAGGTTCTATACTCTATAAATCTAAATCCTTCCTAAAAATAGAATTTTTTAAATTTTTTAAATTTTTTATATAAAAACCTATTTAGAACTAAAAAATAGATATTTTTAATATTTTAAAATAAGTTACTAAGATATTTTTTTAAAATCTTAATAAATTATATAACTTTAAATATTTTAAGTTCTAGTAAAAGAATATAGAATATTAAACTATTAAACTATATAAAATTATATAAAAATTCTAGAAAAAGTTTTATCTAAGCTATATAATATTATTTTAGGTTCTGCAGGTTCTATCTATTTAGGTTTAGGTTTTCTAAAAAGAGTAAAAACCAGCTCAATTTAGCTATCAGGGAAAAGAAAGATATCAAGAGTCCCAAGAATACTCAGCCCACCTTGCATGAGGTTTAAAATATATAATAGATATAATAGATATACTAGACTAAAGTCTTATTCAACCCACTGGATATTAAGCACCACACAAAGGCTGAAGGAGAGGGTTATCGCGGTACTTTATTATGTAATATAAAGAGACAGTTCAACATCTGTGCTCTATACCTGACAATAGTATATCCTATTTGATTAACCCTACTCCCTAGGCCTTTCTCTGCCGCACGTGTGATGGGTTATCTGGCCTGTAATTAGGGCTGTTTCACGGCTGTCTTACCTTCTGTTCGTGTTCCTGTGGAATACTAGTATATATCTTTCTATCTTAGTAATTGGTAATATAGTGAAGACTAACCCTGATTTATTAAATCTCTATGCAGGCGGTGTTATTCTTGTATACAGAGCCGAAGTATTAATTTCTGAATATACTATATTTAAGCGATGAAGGGCTGGGGAGCTGGTTAGTATCTAATTATATGTACCTGCTCTGAGGATATCTATATTAGGTGTTGGTACACCAAGCCAGCCCTGGGATATATTTCTTCAATTAGCGGAATGATGCCAAGATGAAGGATCAGATCTCGGTTATAGTATTATAACTATAAATAAACTATTTAAATATAGTATCAGAGACTTTAATAGAGAATTCCAGGCATTCCGATTATCTCACAGGTCTCGCTAGCTTTTTTTTTTTCCAACTATCAAAAAGGGCAGGGTCATCTTAAGGATTAATAAGATGCTCTATTGGCTCGTCCCAAAATTTAGAGTTGAAAATACGAAATCGATTTGGGCTTTTTGCATTGGCACCAGAGGACAAATACGCAAATACGTCAGTGGAGTATGGGCGGCTAACATCAGACGCTTGTCATGGATGGCACCACGGGGACAGATCCATTGAATAGCTTCTATGTGATAGATCTCTCTAAATGATAGCTATTGGTTTGGTACCTATAATGGAACATACTACGGCAAGCACCGGAGTGATCTGGTATTACGCTTTGGAAGGTGGCCAGAATATATAACTATATATAACTATAGTATAAAGTTAACTTTGTCAGCACCCCCCCTCCAACAACTTCCTAGTGCTAGATGTTTAGAGTTATTAAATTGATAATCCCATAATTAGATAACCAGGAGACGGATGGAATATTTAAAGTGTAGCAAACTCTATGCTTTCCTGGATTAGATTCTTATAGTTATACTTACTTTGACCCGACTGCTGTAGTAAGGCCACGATACTCTTGAACTTTGGAGCATACGTGCTGAAAGTTACTCTGCCTTTTGTTAATTACCTTAGAGTAATATCAAGCACCATATACCTTATATTATTTATTGTTTAATAGTCTGCTGTATTCCTTTTGAGGACTATACCAATGCAGGAAGGGAAGCGCCCATCAAATCCATCGAGCTTATCAAATATCGGAATGGCTGCATAGAGATCAACTATTTCAAGAAGCTCTGGGTAGTTGAGTTAGCAATTCACTTGATACAAATGGGCTATTGCCGTTGCGAGATGAATATAAACGCCACGAGTAATGTTTCACTATACTCATATTATAGAAATGTAGACTTAGCAGTCGTCAGGGTCACGGCAGCCTTCGTTCCAGAGAACATATGTAGTAGGAGAGCCATCACACTAAGCTCTAGCTTGGGGCTTAGAGTTGGGCGTGGCGACTGCGAGGGTAGTGAGGGCAAAGGTCATGGTAGAGATAGCAGCGAGGAGCTTCATGTTCACGGTTGTAGTGGCCTTATATTGTAAAGGCAGAAGAGCTTGTGATATTGCAGAGTTTGAAATTAACTATGCTACGTGGATCTTGTCCAAGGACGCATCCCTCCAGTTTGCCCCCTCCTTCCCAATCATCTCTGCATCGTGGCCAAACAGCCATTTCCTGCGGTCACCGTAGCCCCAGAAGACTGGATTCTCTGCCGCATCCAGAGCCATCTTCTCGTCCCGGGCCTGTTGCTCCTCCCCATCGTCAATGTGCAAGATGTATTGGTGCTCGCGCGTCTTGGCCTGTACCAGGCTAGCTCTGGGCATGCGGATCTCCTCGTACTGCTTCAAGGCTTTGGCCATGTTCACATCCTGTTGGAGCACCTCACGTAGAACCGCAGCGTCTTCGAATGCCTGTGCAGCTCCCTGAGCAAGGTAGGGGAGCATAGGATGACAACTATCACCAAGCAGCACAACCTTACCAGAGGGATGTGTCCAGCGAGTAAGGTTGGGCAGATCACACAGTCGCCATTTCATGAAATCCCCGGTCAGTGCACAGAGTTTCTGGACCTTGGGCTCCCAGCTCGCAAAGCGGTTGCATAATTCACTGTTATCGCCCTTGACAACCCAGACCTCGTCCGTAGTCTCGTTGTAGGAGGTAGCACAGACGACGATGTTGTACATCTCGCCGTTGCAGATCGGGTATCCGACCAGATGCGCATCAGGACCGCACCATGATGTCGTGCAAGGGTCGATGATAAGATGGGCGAGATCTGGATCGGCCAACAACTTCTCGGCGGGAATAAGGATTCGGTACGCAACGTCTCCAGTGTCGCGAGGGATATCAGGCTGGCCAGTAAGCAGTGGCCGGCATAGAGATTTGATGCCGTCCGCTCCAACGATAAGGTCCGCCGTGAAGGTTTCTCCGTCCTTGGTAGTAGCAGATGGAGCATCGAAGTCATATGAGACAACAGCCTTCTTAGTCAAGACTTTGACCCCGGCCTTGTTAGCCGCATCAAGCAGGGCCGCATGTAGGTCGGCACGGTGGATTAGCCAGTATGGAGCCCCATGTGTCTCAACAATATCATTGAACGGTAAATTGAAGATCGTGTTGCCATCCTTCCACCGAATGAAGTGGTATCGCTGAGAAGTCGACTTCTTCATTCTCTCCAGGTCAACACCCCCCATCGGATAAGGAGGCGGCTAGAATTAGGAGGAATCCTGATACCGGCTCCAGCCTATAGGAATGATATGTTTCAGCCAGTGCCGTAGAACGGGACGGAGGGACACTTACTTCTGCGAACTGGGGAGCTGAATCGATAATAGTCACCTTGTGGCCGTCGGTCTGTAGGGCCAAGCCCGCTGCTAGGCCACCCAGGCCAGCGCCAACGACAAGCACATTTAGCGCTCTGGAAGCTTTTGGCATTGTGAAATGAGTTGTTGCTATGGAGGCTTTCGTAGCACTGTGGATGATATGGCTGATCTTTTGCTCTGGGTCGGGTGGTTTTATAAATATTTGGATAGAAATGTGAACTACAGGCGAGTGCAATGCTCTGCCCACTATGGCCAAAGAAGTCTGCGGACGATTTGTCGTCCACCTGGCTGTCGGATGGCTGCATCCGACAGGGAAATGGTTCCGCCATCTCCACCACTATCCATCAGTCCGACTGTGGTTGCACCGGTTACAAGTAGAGCATGGATGATCAAGATTGAATATACTCTGTTGGTACCCAAGAATGGTTCTATCATTCCTGGGTTACTTAGGGTTCTTTATAGTATGAAGATGTAGCAGCATTCCGGAACTCCAACAGGTAGTTAGAGTAGTTATATTAGTTAGAAATAGTAATTTAAATTCCATGACAATGTTATTACACCTTGCCAAATCTATGTACAGCTATCTACCCAAAAAGCCAGTGACTATTTCACAAAAGTCCTTAAACCCATCGATATAGGGAACATGTCCAGCAGACTTTACAATCTTCATCTGCACAGGGGCCTTCTTTCCATGACTGCGAAAGCTGTCTTCCATGGCATTGCGCGTGTCCTGCATTTTGATCGGCAAGTCCGCATCTTTCTCACCAGCAACAATGAGCGCCTCATCACAGCCCTTTCCGACGCCAGGATAGAGAGGCCTAAGATCAAAGGAGGGCTGCCCAAGTGCTGTGCAACAAGCCTCGAGACCTGCAATCGTCGTAGTCGCCATCGAAATTTCCATTCTCGCCGTTTCTGCCGGGTTCTCTGCCATCCATTCTTCGCCAAACCACCGTTTTCGAGTGATGGCAAGGTCCTCTGCGACTGATCCTGCTTCTCTGGCTGTACGCGCCCTCGCTGCAAAGTTGTCTGTGATCCCTGCCACGGTTGGCGACATTGCGATCGCGTCCGATACGATAAGTTTGTTCACTATGCCCGGGTGGCGCGATACAAAGTACACGCCCTTGATACCTCCCATAGATACTCCTACCCAGGCATACAGTCTGCTGATGCCGAGGTGTTTCAAGAGGAGGTGCACCTCATCTGCCATGATCTCGAACGTCATTGACGACCGCTCGGTCACGGATGGTGCGCTGGAACGTCCATGGCCTGGTTGGTCGTAGCGGAGGACTCGGAAGCCGCGGTCTTGTAGCACAAGTACAACGCGGTCCCAGGAGGTCAAGTCCTCTGCCAGGGAGTTTGAAAGCAGGATAATGCGATCGGAGGTCCCAGGCGATAGCGAATAGGCCATCTGTCGGCCACTGGCACTGGGGAGTGTGAAGCTTTCGATCGTGTACACCATGCTGATTGTAGCTGTGTAATCTCGATGCTGATGCGACGGACTGTTTTTCGTCTTGACTTGTGGAAGATGGCAGTGAACCACTGCGGAGGAATGACTCCGGCCCACGGCAGCGTGGAGTACGGCGGCCTGTTAGGAGAATTCCGAAGAGTAATGGCGTGGGGCCATGCGGGGGAAATACGGGGAGCTGTTTCCGGGCTGGACGGATAAGTTCTCTTCTTCCCTCCCGTCGCATCCCTGACTCCGGCTGAGGTCTCGGATCATTGTCACATACGCGATGGCTGAGGCATCAACAGAAAGGCCGCCGAAGCGACGGCCCAGGAGGGTACCAGGCCCGGCTCGAAAGCGATCGGCGCAGAGCTGTAAGCCCCATATGCATCTCTCACTCGCACAAGCGCTAAGACAGCTCGGAGTTAGGCGACTTCTGTCGAAAGCGTCGCTGTAGATGCGTTCCACTACCGTCAGGGCACGGCTGTGTCATGTGCCATGAGCATGAGATCGAATGCTCCTACGTTCTTCCACGCAAGACCAGGTTTTACGGCAGCTTAGATGACTTGAGTGACAGGTAAGCGTTCCCAAGGTGGATTGTCTGGGCTCTCGACTCCTAACAGGCGACAGATTCAAGTGCCTGGAGGCCATCGTACATGGGGCATTTCCTGATGTTGATGTATCCACAGTGTCGGGGCTCCTCGGGCTAGGAGAACGCATGGGATATGCCATGCCAGACTTGTTGCAAGGTAGCACAGTAGGGATAGAAGAGCTGGTCAAGGGTGGAATCGCATCAGATGGCGCTCAGAGGGCTTCACCACCACACCCACACCCTATCACTAGTCAGGATGTTGGTCCTGGCACGGAAGAGTCCGGCGGCCTCGTCAGGGATACAGCCGGTCGGAAACATTTCATCGGCCCATCCGGAAGTCTTCAGTTTCTGGGTCAGCTCCGGCGCTTGATTCTCAACTCTCGCGCTGGTGGTAGCCAGGGTTCAGGGCTTAATCGACTGACTGCTACCTTTACGGACGAAGATGCGGCTCAGGCTCTGGAGGCAGATAACAACCGCGAGGAGCAACCAGGGGTGTCCCCTGCCGGCGAAAGTCCCCAGTCGCATGCGTCCCTCGGTTCATCTCTGCTTCGAGACTTTGCTAGTATCCCTCACGGGGAAATTGAGGAGATCAGACGACAGCTTCCGCAGCGGTCGGCGGTCGATTCACTGGTGCGGGTGTACTTCAGAGATATACATCCGGACTTCGCATTATTCCACCGGGGATCCTTCGCGGAGGGGTATGAAACGTACATGTCTTCGGCCGCAAGGGGTGCGCAGCCACAATCAGCAGGCTGGCTCGGCTGTTTACACATGGCGATTGCTTTCGCGTCCATGTCTAGGGCGAACGACCTCCCTCCTCATGTCGACCTTAAAGCCCTCTCCCGGCACTGTGTGAGTCTCACGAGGCTGTTGCTGCCTCATCTAGTTTCCAACTGCGCCCTCACGAACGTCCAAGCCCTTGTCCTGCTGGCGCTGTTCCTCCACAACCATAACGAGCGCAATGCAGCGTGGAACCTTGTAGGAACCGCCAAACATATGGCCTTCTCTCTTGGCCTGCATCGCGCCACCGATAACCAAGCACATTTCAGGCCCATGGAGAGAGAGGCTCGAAAGCGGGTCTTCTGCACATTGTACGGTTTCGAGCAGTTTCTTGCATCCAGCCTGGGGAGGCCGACCGGACTCTACGAGTTTGAAGACGTGGAAATTGTTTCTACCCACGAAGCTTTGCTAGATGGAGACGAGGATGGGGATGACACTGCAAAACTCTCCCTGGAGCTGCAGGCTATTCTGGCACAAGCAAGGGTATCCCTTGCGGTCAAGTCAATGCCAACGACCGACGACCAAATCAACAGGGACAGCTTAGCCCGCCACGAACATGCTGCAAGGGAGGTCCTGGACGCATTGAATCAGTGGAAGAATCGGCTTAGCTCAACCCATGCGCTGAACATGCCTTTTATCGCCGACGCCGATGACATCTTGTGTGAAGGCGCCCGGGAGTCGCCACGGATGCCGTTGCAAGAACTACGAATGATGATGGGCTGGCAGAGCAGGCGCCGGCTTCGGACTGCACTGGTGCTGCAGCTCCAATACAGATACATCGGCCTTCTAGTAACAAGGTCTGCCTTGCTTCTACATGTTGCAACCGCGCCAGCTAGGAGTGGAGGTGAGGGAACAGACCCCCCAGATGAACAGCTGTCAGATCTGTGCATAACACACGCTGTTCAGCTCTGTCGCCTAATCTTGCTTGCCGACTCTGTTGACCTGGTGAACGGAACCTCGGCCATGGATGTTTTTTATGCCTATTGTGGTGTCATGGTGCTGATCCTACGTTCGCTACGTGTTTCCAACTCCGCCAACCACCATCACGACCGACACAAAGCACGCCTACAGATGGAGCAGCGTCGCCTCATTGCGGAGACGAGGGAAGTTCTCCTGCGCATAAGGAAGTGCAGTACGATGACTCGGTTTGCACGCGTAGTAGCTGCGTTCGAGGAAGGGTCGAGGCCAGATCGATCGCATCGCGTCGCTCCGATAGACAGCCACGCCCCAGTAAAAGGGCAGCCGGCTACGGAGGCAGTAAATACGCAGCCATATGCGACGTTGTCAAGCGACCCCTTCCACTCAGCCGAGCAACTCAGTGACCCAACCGCCAACCAAGCAGCGGTTATAGATCCGACTCTCGACTTCCTTCGTGCCTCCCAACAAGGACCAGGTACAGGAACAGCCACAGGACTCCTCGGCCCCCCAGGTCCCTCATGGCAGGCTAGCTCCCTGACCACATTTGACGGGCCATCAGATGCAAGCAGTTGGATGATGGATTCTTTCTTCGGCCTTGACGGGACGGGCGCTGTCGACTGGGATGATATTGAGACACTCCTCGCCCGAAATATTGGGCAATGACGTACGTAGAATACTTGTATATTTTAGAGACGAGACTATTACCAATCCTACCTCTTCTCCCAGATCCTGGCGTTTTTCCGTCGGAACCACACATCCGTTGGAGTCCTCTCACCCCCACGCCACAGCCTCCCCCCTCGCACGAGCTCTACCAAGATACTAATCGAATGCATGATTGCCGCATCCTGGCATTAATTTACGAGGCTATTTCCCTCTGGTATGGTGAAACAGCCCTAGACATCCTCCGATGTTCCATCGTTGACGAACCATGTATCCATCAATCAGTAACTCATATCCGCTCGGAGAGCCCCTACAGCTGTGTATTGGAGGCAGCTACCGGAATTCCAAGAACCATGGCATGTTCCCTGTCAAGAACCCTATGACGGGGGCTACCATATACCAATGTGCCTCTGCATCGCTAGACGACTACGCCGCCGCCATTGATGGCGCACATTCAGCCCAGCGTTCTTGGGCAGCCCTTTGTCCCTCGGCACGGCGATTAATTCTCCTCAAGGCGGCCGATATCATGGAGACATACATCGACAGCGACGCGCCAGAGATTCTGTCGGCCGAGGTATCCGCGACAAAGGGATGGGTTAGGGCCAACATCCTTTCCACAGCCGGCGTGTTCCGCGAAAATGCAGCTCTGGCGACACACATCAAGGGCGAAATTGTCCCCGCGGACCGTCCCAACACCACGATCCTGGTTGAGCGACAGCCAGTCGGGGTGGTCTTCGCCATCAGTCCCTGGAACATGCCTGCGACACTGACAGCGAGGGCAATCTGCTGTCCGTTGGTCTGCGGCAACACGGTCATACTCAAGCCGTCCGATTTCAGCCCCAAGTCGCAGCATCTCGTTGTCCGTGCACTGGCTGAAGCTGGACTACCAGCCGGATGCTTGCAATTCCTGCCCACCAGTGCTGCAGACACCCCTGCCGCCGTTGAGTTTGCCGTCAAGCATCCGAAAGTTAGCCGGACCAACTTCACGGGCAGTGAGCGTGTGGGCCAAATCATCGCTGCATTATCGGCTTGCGTGTTGAAGCCGTGCGTCCTAGAGCTGGGTGGTAAGGCACCCGTCGTTGTCCTCGAAGACGCAGACATCGAAGGCGCCGTTGAGGCCGTCGCATATGGTGCTCTTTCCAACAGCGGACAGATATGCATGTCCACTGAACGGGTGATTGTTCATCGCTCGGTCGCAGCGGACTTCAAAACGCGACTGATAGAGCGAGTCGAGAGCTTGCGGGTGGGAAACCACATGGTGGACCCGAGCGTGCAGCTCTCCGGTCTGTTCACGGCCGCATCTGCCGCACGCGTGCTGGGTCTTGTTAAAGACGCCGTTGCGGCCGGTGCCACACTTTTGACAGGCGATATGAGGCTCCACGGGCCATGCGGCACAATTCTACTCCCTCATATCCTGGAGGGGGTTACACGCGACATGGATCTCTTCTGCAAGGAATCATTCGGTCCTGTCCTGTTTATATCCGAATTTGATACCGACGAAGAGGCCATCGCACAGGCCAATGACTCAGAGTTCTCCTTGTGTGCGAGCGTCTTCTCCCGGGACGCTCTCCGCGCAATGGATACGGCCAAGCAGATACGGACGGGCAGCTGTCATGTCAATGGACCAACCGTCTATATCGAGGCGCCGCTTCCGAATGGGGGTGTTGGTGGTGCCAGTGGGTATGGTCGGTTTGGGGGCATAGCAGGTATTGAGGAGTTTACAGAGAGGCAGATTGTTAGTCTGGCGAGGCCTGGGATGAAGTATGTCTTCTAGTGTAATGTACGATTTAAGTCAACAAAGGCAGAGCATAAATTCCCAGTTGTTCACTCATTATAGATACTCGAGTGTTTAGAATACACGACTCCTATGTATCTATCCCCTAGCCTCTGCTCCAGCCCGGATCCCCACCCTTGTCCCGAATTTCCTTGCCTCGCCACATCAAAACTCCAATAGTGAAAGGGAAAAAAACCACAGTCAAAGCAGCAAATAATCCAAATGTCGACGTCATCCCCACCTTTGCAATCATTGGCTGGACGAAAAACGGAGCCGTGTAGGAAAAGATATTCCGAATCAGATTGAAAACCAAGTTAACCTCTGCACCTTGACGAGGATAGCATTCAAGGATGTATGTTTGACTGTCGGTACTCATAATTAGCGTACTCAGCTCTCATACTTGGGGATGGGAGATTGGTCATACACGACTGTTGTGGCAACCTCAATGCCAAATATATAGACCGCCTGTCCAACCAACGGCGTAATCCATGCATTTCCAAACTGGAGCGATGCACCGAACATGATCAAACCCCCAGGTACAGTGATGAGTGCTGGCCAGATCGCTTGCAGCCGATACTCGGGCTGCCATTCCCGATCTTGTTTCGCGGTGTTCTTCACTATAAAATCAAGCGCAGGTCCAGCGTACACTTCACCGACAAGAGCTCCAATCAACCCAGAGAACCCAGTGAGACCGACATCCAGTACCGAGAAGTTATAATCGGCCTCAAACACAAGTGGGATCACAGCTGTGATACCAACATGCATCATATAGGCAATGCCGAACCAGAAGGCCGATAGCATAACGGCCGGGTACTTGCAGAGTATAATAGGACGGGTGGCGATGAACAGGAAACTATGCTTGTTCTCTTCACGGCGCTTGGGGATATGAATGCCGTAACCGTCCCAGAGGGTTGGTTTCTTAGTTTCAGTCACGGTTGTACTGGCACTGGCTGCTTCTCGGATGTAGATTGTCTCTGGGAGGAGGAAGATTTGCATGATGAAGCCCGCGCCCATGCACACGAGGGGGATCCATTGGGATGCTCGCCATCCTAAATTTGGATCTTCTATTATGGGGCCGCCGATACTGTCAACCCATCTGGTCAGCTTGTGGCTCTGCGAGGAGAAGAATAAGGTATGTTCAGACACTTACATCGTGCCGAGGAAAGGCGAGACTACAATTGCCAAGGTGGAAATGCCAATCTTCTTCCCCTTCTCGTGCCGGAAGAACTGTAGGACCTTGTTAATATGCCCCCCACTAGTAATGTGCGCCCTAAAATTATAGACACGTACCATATCTCCAATACTGGCTGGACCAAGTGTCCAGAATGCCGAACCACCCGCTCCAAGAATGACCCGACCGACAATGCAAGCTGCATACGTTTGGGAGGTCGTAACAACAACAGCTCCAACCATAGCAATAGCATTGCAAGCAAGAAGCACAGGTCTGCGTCCCAAAAAGTGACTGAGCGGACTCCACAACCACGGTGCCACGCCATAGAGTGCAACAGGTGTGTTTCCCAAATAAACAGCTGTAGACTTGGACACACCTAGAGACTTTGCCACGGGGACAGTTCCTGTAACAAGTGTAGTCACAGCGACGTAGCATATGAGTGCCAGGTATGATATTGTAAACATGGCGGCATGCTTGCGGAACCAGGACCAGTTCAGTGGATCGGTGGGATCATCAGATGGCTGGGGCATTAGAATAATCCCGTCACGCATCTTGAGATTGGGCGTGATGGAGGCGTCATCTTTATGCTCCCATGCATCCTTCTCTGTGTCTCCTGCCATGTCTGTATCTAATTCTAGGTATCAGCTCGCCTCAGTCCACATGATGCACTCGGGTAAAATGAACAAAATTAATCTTGACTCACGCGAGCTGGGTTTGGCCTTCTTGTACATGCTGAAGACATTTGTAGATCCAACGTTGTTCTTCGGATCCAAGAGAGCAGCTGTGTTATAAAAACAAAAGGAGCAGAGTGCCCCCTTGCCAACTCCGCATTCCAGAAATGACTCGCAAGCGAAGCGGATGGTTGCATCCACTCCGGGAGCATGAAGTAGGTGAACTAGTCGTCATTGACCCCAACTGTGGGGAAATTCTGGTCTGGGGTTGACTGTCGGATCGTTGTCTCCGATACAACAGACGAACCTTGCAACCGAGGTCAGACCTCCAATTCAATAAGTTAAAACGGCTTAGCATAGCGCAGCCTCATTTAAATAACTAGCCTCGTTGGTGCAATAGTCGAATTTAACTTTCTTCAAACACTGACTTGTTACAATGGGTTCAATCACTCCCCCAGAAGTGTCCCTCGCGGCAATCCAAGACCAGAAGACAAAGGCCATCTCCGTTACGCAACGACAGACTCCAGTCGCCGTCGGTCCCCAGGTTCTAGTCAAACTACATTATTCCGGAGTATGCGCCACAGACCTCCACCTGGCTCGTGGGAACATTCCCTACCTGCAGCCCAAAGTCTCAGTGGGTGGCCATGAAGGCACCGGTGTGATCGCCAGCCTCGGTTCTGAAGCAGACACGACAAAGTGGCACATCGGCGATCGGGTCGCGGTACGCTGGGTACATATTGTTTGCGGGAAATGCGAAGTCTGCTCGACAGGCTATGAGAATCTATGCCAGACTCGAAAGCTCACAGGAAAGGACGTCGACGGCACATTTGCCGAGTACGCTATTGCAGACAGCTCTTATATGGTTAGGCTTCCGGATGGAGTGTCTGATGCCGATGCTGCACCGATCCTATGTGCTGGTGTTACTGTCTACAAGGCGCTTAAGATTGCCGACCTGCGCAAGGGGTCGTGGGTTGCCATCGCAGGGGCTGGTGGAGGCCTAGGGCATCTTGCTATCCAATACGGACGTGCCATTGGTCTCAAGGTCGTTGCTCTTGACGTAAAGAAAAGAGACCTCTGTTTGAGCCTCGGAGCGGATGCATACATCGATATATTGGAGACGAAGAACTGTGTGTACGATGTCATCGAGGCTACAGGCGGTGGAGCTCACGGAGCACTAATCTGCGCTTCGTCAGCGCAAGCTTATACCGACGCCATCGGATTTCTAAGACGGACTGGAACCCTCGTCTGTATTGGCCTCCCCTCGAAACCTACAACTCTGCCGTTAGGGCCTGCAGACTTTGTTGCTCGCGGTATCAAAGTTATGGGTACATCCACTGGAGATCGGCAGGACACGCTGGAGGCGCTTGATTATGTAGCGAAGGGTCAAGTAAAGCCACAACTGATCGAAAGAAAGCTGGGAGATATCGAGCATATCCTGGAGGAGCTTGACCGCGGGACAGCGCAGGGCAAGTCCGTTATTAGGATAGCATAACGCTATAGAATATAATATATATATAGCGCCATAGCTATTCCGGATATATACTTTTCTGGATAGAATAGAAGGATGCTTGGTCACGTTCCTTCTAACTTGAGACAAGATTACATAAGATCTAACCCACAGGCGGTATCCAGATGGATGTCTAGTCAGATTAGGGTTATAGATAGGACAGGCGCTGATTTATTAATAAGATTTATATAGAGGATTAGATTAGATTAAAAGTAAAGATCTAATTATTTTTAAACTATATAAGTTAGAGATCTTAGATTTTTAATACTAATAGATTTATAAGTTAAATTTAACTTATCTAAGTTATAAAGGATTTAAGATAGAACTAATAAAGTTATTTATATTAAAAGTTCTAGAATAATACTGCCTAATTATACTAGAGATATATATTTATATAATTAATTAATAATTACTAGAATTTATAGCTTAAAGATAGATTTTCTACTATAATTAAAATCTAATTTTATAGTCCCCAATAATTAATATGTAATATTTAAAGTTAAATCTAGTATTAAGATCTCTAGTATATCTAATTTATTAATAAATTATTATAAAAGTTTACTCTCTTATTTAATTAACTACTAAGAAATAACTATCTATATTTTATATAGCTAAGAAGAATAGAAAATAGTAGTAATACTATTAATAAAAAATATAGTTTCTATCCCACAGGCGGTATCCAGATGGATGTCCAGTTAGATTAAGGTTATAGATAGGGCAGGTGCTGATTTATTAGTAAAACCCGCATAGAGGGTTAGATTAGATTAAAAATAAAGATTTAATTATTTTAGAACTATATAAGTTAGAGACCTTAGATTTTTAATACTAATAGATTTATAAGTTAAATTTAACTTATCTAAGTTATAAAGAATTTAAGATAGAACTAATAAAGTTATTTATATTAAAAATTCTAGGGTAATACTACCTGATTATACTAGAGATATATATCCGTGTAATTAATTAATAACTACTAGAGTTTATAATTTAGAGATATATTTTCTACTATAGTTAAAACCTAACTTTATAGTTCTCTATAACTAGTATATAATATTTAAAGTTAAATCTAGTATTAGGATTTCTGGTATATTTAGTTTATTAATAGATTATTATAAGAGCTTATTCTCTTATTTAATTAACTACCGAGAAATAACTACCTATATTTTATATAACTAAGAAGAATAGAAAATAGCAGTAATATTATTAATAAGAAGTATAGTTTCTATATATATAATATTAACTAAATTAAATAGTCTCTATTTCTAGCTTAAACTAGTATTACTATTATTATTCTCCCTAGTAGAGCTATCTTTATTTCTATATTTACTATCTATAATTAGTAGATATTTTCTTTATTATATAACCTAACTATATTCTGTCTCAGTACCAGGGGTGGTACACTGCAAAAAAAAGGCTTGGCAAGGGGGGTGGTACTGGGTTCAACTATGTACCACCCCTTAAAATCTTTAATTCTTAATATTTTTAAATAAAATTAGATTACTAGATAGCTAGAACTCTAAATTCTAATACTATATAAAAATATTCTGAGATTTCCTATTTAGGAAATTATAATTAGTGGATATAGAATTAGCAGAAATTTTTGTTGGGGTAAGCCTTGGCAGGCTATTTACGGGTAGTCTAGACTTAATTAGACTATCCTGGTGCCTGAGGCAGTAATCCTAGCTAGCAGGCATAGATATAGACTGTGCAGGGCCTGAATAAAAAATAGATTATTTTTAAAACTTACCCTAGTTTATTTATCCTAGTAATTTCTATAGAAAGTATAACAACCCTAAGATAATAGAATATAGATAATAAATAAAACTAAACTAAACCCTAAAACTATATATTCTATAAAACTGCTTAGAAAACTGATAGAAAAACCAGGCTGCTTCAACAATTTCAGTATCTAGTTCCTATTTCTGTTTTAGGAAGCTGGATAACTGTAAATCAGCAGGTTTAGGAGTCTGGATCCAGGGATTTCTAGTAGATTTAGGGTTATTAAATCTACTAAGAAGCCAGAATAGAATAATTAAATATTTATTCTTGCACTTCTTTCCCTTTTTAGTTTCCAGAGGCCCCCTGCAGATTCTAGTAACCAGTAATGAATTTACAACTTTGTCTATCTATACTATAATATTATATAAAGCTAAGGCTTATAGTATATATAAAATAGATATTAGATATTCTAAATCTTCTTTTAGAATTAATCTAACTAGTATAGTTCTTCTAATATTAAATATTAAAGTTTATAATTTTTAGAGATAATTCTTAGAAGATTACTAATCTAATTTTTAAACTTAAAACTAAATTCTTTTAAGTTTTATTCTTAAAACTAAATCTTTTTAAGTTAATTTAGAAACTGAACTTTTTTAGTTAGCCTAGAAACTAAATTCTTTTAAGTTAGTCTAGAAACTAAATCCTTTTAAGTCTTATTTATTTTACTATAGTAAGAAAAAATAATTATTATCTATTAAAGATTTTATATATATACTATAAATCTATAAATAACACTATTTCTATAGAGAATAAAAATAAGTAATAAATAATTACTAATTACTAAAAGAATTCTATATTTATAAAATCTATTAGACTAGTTAGAAAACCATCTATATATAGTTTATATTAAATTATAGTATAATTCTTAAAGTAAACTAATTATAAGATTAAAAGTCTTTAGTACTAAATTATATAGATACTAGTATATACTAAAATTCAGGAAAAATTATACTATTATTTATAATATTTTTATTATCTTAATTACCCTATATTTTTACCTTTTATTTATAGAACTATAATCTTTAGCTATTTTATTATATTAGAATATAATAGTAATATACTAATATTAGTAGTAGATATTAAATATAATATATTTCTATTATATCTTTATATTTTACTAGATTTCCGGGTTATTCTCTATATAATCTATAATAATTATTATATATAATAGAATCTCTCCTAATATCTATTTAAAAAATATCAGCTCCTAAAGAAAAAATAGTAAAAAATTAAATTATTTTCTTAATTAAATTATATTATTACTTCTAGTATTAATATTATATAACCCGGGAATAGTACTAATAAGATTTATAAGCTATTAACTATTCTTAGTTTCCTCTACTATCTCTCTAAATATAACTTTTATTTAACTAACCACAACCAGATCTAATAATATTATAATTAAAAATATTAGTAATAGATAGTATACTAAAAGGCTATATTATAGTATAAAATATATCTATAAATATTATTTTAGTAAAAGTAATATTAATAATACTTTACTATAGTTCTAGCTAACAGAATCTACTAGACTAGTCTTTTATAATATATATATTTCTATACTTATATACTCTAGAATATTCTATTATTAATCTAT